TCTTAACTATTTAACCATCATTTATATGCGTAACTCAGATCTTACTTTAGATGGAAATGATGGTCAACAAAATCTAAGGTCAGTTTCTGTATTTTGGAATTTATGCAGGCAGCGACTGACTATAGTAATTTGATGCATATGTCACGTTTATTATGTTACTGTTTAAAACCTACCACAATCGGCTGAAACTTGTTGTAGTCGGTTAAAATACCTGTATCTGTGTACCTGGCTTAGACAAGTAATTATATATAATAACCCGACGAATTTCGCTTTTCTTGGACCTTGTGATCAAATACTTATGACCCGCGCCTGCTATGCAAACTCTGTAATTTATTGCCCATAGTTTGATCCACGATTTATATATACATAACTGTGGATGAAAGAATGAGGAGCGCAGTGTTGGATACAAGGGTTTACCGGGGGTCCAACGTAGGGACGGACCACTACCTGGTCTTATGCCGAATTAGGGGTTTATTCAGACGTTGGCGGCATAGGACATCTGTGTCTACCACTGCGTTACAGCGTATAAGAATTAAGAGGTTACAAGATGAAGATGTGAAAGACAAGTACAAATGCAGACTGAGAGAAAATATAAGTAATTTGGATGAGTTGTGTGTGAATGAGTTAGACTTGGAGAATGTGTGGCATAATGTTAAAAAAGGTTTAGTGGATGCAGCTACCGAAGTATGTGGTGTTAGTAAGAGAACGAATGAAAGACAAGACAATACTTTATGGTGGGATGATGAGGTACTTATGGAAGTTGAAGCAAAGAAGAGAGCATGGCTAGATTTACTAGCGACCAAAGCTGGTAATTCTGGCGGTAAGAATGATGAGAATGAAAGAAAAAAGGCAGAGTTTAAACGTTTAAATAAGAGAGTAAAAGAATTAGTTGAAAGGAAAAAGCAAGAAAGAACTGATAAGAATGATAGAAGAATATCGGATAACTTCCAGGCAAATATTAAAATGTTCTGGAAACTTGTAAGAAATACCAGGGGACTTTCAAAACAGCCTAGATTGAATGCGATACGAGACAAGAATAGCTGTATCCTGAATGATGAAGTGTTGAGTCTAAAGAGATGGAAGAAATATTTTGAAAGCGTATTTATGAGTGAGAAGTGTGAACTAAATGAAATAGAAATTCTGAAAGAAGACGAAAGAGATAGGGAGATAAGTATAGATGAAATAATGAAAACAATGAAAAGCATGAAAGTAGGCAAGGCAGCCGGATATGATAGAGTTTCACTCGAAATGCTAAGGGCTGGAGAGCACTTGGTGGCAGGCCTGCTGTACAGCTTGTTTAATTTATGTTGGGAACTAAAGCGGGTACCGGGAGACTGGTGCAAAGCCGTGGTAGCCCCAATATATAAGGGAAAAGGGTCACAGCAGGACTGTAAAAACTACCGTGGTATCAACCTTTGGTGAGTGCTAGGTACTAATTGAAAGAGTTATTATGAAAAAAACTGATTTGTGAAAAAATTTGGGATATGCAAGCTGGATTTAAAAAGGGAATGGGGTGTACAGATCAAGTCTTTTCCATGCGCATGATCGCGGAGAAGTTATTGGCGAAAAACCAAAAAGTTTTTTGTGCGTTCATGGACTTGGAAAAGGCTTATGACAGAGTGGACAGGGATGTGTTATGGCAAACGCTGAAAGCATTTAGGTTGAGCGCTGGTTTGATACAGGTATTAAAGTCTCTGTATAGGGACTCTAGTGCTTGTGTAGGGGGTCTACTCGGCCTGGTTTGGCATCCATAAAGGTGTCAGACAGGGCTGTGTAGCTTCCCCGTGGCTCCTCAACCTCTTTATAAACAGTTGTTTGGAAAATTTGAAAGTTGAAGAATGCGGGTTATGAATGGGTGAGTTAACCACCAAATGCCATTTGTACGCCGATGATCAAGTCATACTTGCGTCGTCGTCGGTCGAGTTGCAAATGATGGTTACATTAATGAACTGGGCAATTAAAAGAAAGGGGAATGAAAGTGAACGCAAGTAAGACGAAAGTGATGGTTTTTGAAGGAGAAGAAAGCAAAACGGTATGTGAAATAAGAATAGAAGGAGAGTTAATTGAGCAAGTGTATGAGTTCGTATATTTGGGATGTGTATTCAGCAGGGATGGGAAGATATGATAAGGATATTGAACGACGAGTGAATGCAGGAAATGAAGTAAATGGGGCTCTACACTCTATTGTGAAAAGTCAGAATGTGTCAAAAAAGGCACGTATGGCGATTCACAGTGCTGTATTAGTCCCTACTTTAACGTATGGTAGTGAAAGTTGGGTGTGGCAGAAGAAGCACGAGAGTAGAATAAATGCAGTAGAAATGCGGTCGCTAAGGAGTATGTTAGGGCTGAATCTGAGTGACAGGGTGAGAAACTGTGTGATAAAAGAAGAGTGTGGTTTACAAGATGATGCGGTGACCAGGATTAAGAAGGGAATGCTTCGGTGGTTTGGTCATGTAGAAAGAATGAATGCGAAAAGACTGACAAAGCAAATATATGTTGCAGAAGTGAATGGAAGAGTCGGAAAGGGACAACCTAGGCGGAAGTTTGTCGACCAAATTGGCGATATACTAAAAATGGGACAAATCAAGAGTACCCTTAACCGACGAGCATGTATGCGTAGGTATATGGATGTGGAAGAGGCGAGAAAGGTATGTCAGGATCGTGCTAAATGGAAGTCTGTAGTCTCTGCCTACTCCTCTGGGTGACAGGCGTGAGTGTTTATGTATATATATATACATATATATATATATATATATATATATATATATATATATATATATATATATATATTTATATTTCATGTCTTCATTTTTTAATTTTAAAATAATAGTGTAGTGGCGGTGTAAGTATATCGATCAACCCATTTCGTCTCGTGGGTGAATCAGATGAGCAGCAGCATCTTCCTGTTAGCAACTCAAAAATTGTAAGAAAATGCGGTTGCCAACCCGAACGCCAACCGTGACAATATCCCCATATATGGCAATCTACGGGGGCCCTTTGTTCAGCTGTAGACTTTTAAAGCCTGTAATGGACTGATGGATCGATATTGGATATACACTTTATGACATAAAATTATTTATTTTTTACTATATATAGTTCAGTTTTAATTATTTTTATTGGTAAATATTAAAAAAATATTTACGTATCAAAAATAATAATAAATTTGTAATTGATTTATACGCGGTGCAGCCACGCTACAGCTTTATTATCGTAATATATGGTTGTAGCACGAATGGGTAGGCTCGACCGGGGAAGGACCACGCTTTCACAGAATACTCGCGTAAAATAGCAGCTTAATACTGCTGTGTTTCGTATGGTGAGCGTAGAGATTCGGAGACTCTTTTTTACTGCTAACGAGGCATTCCATCTTAATCCTCAGGGGTGACAACGCATCTGCGTTTTGAATCTTAATCGATGATAAATGTAGATGTCTATGGGCCACAGCATGTACTTACCATCAGGTGTTCGTTTCTCACCCCAGTATTTAAAAAATCCTATATTAATTGACTTCCTGCATATCTTCTCAGGTCTTCACGTCGTCTAGTCGGAGGCCGACACTTCGCTTACCGCTATGAGATTGTCATTCGATGACCTTCCTTCCCAAACAATAATTAAATAATAACAACAAGTAATTTTAATAATTTTACCAAACACGGTGCATAATGATAATAATAAAAGGCGTAGGGAAGTGACGACCCTATCGCCCGCTGACGTAACGGTTATGGTACAAAACCGCTACGTCAGCGCGTCAGTCAGCACCTTGCCAAGAGGTGTTAGTGCCGTGCCTCGGCAAAAATTGAAGGTGCAAAGGCCCGCTTGTGCACATGGCCTCACCATGAAACGTCTGGGCGTCTTCCGATAAATGACGCTCTAAAAATGGATGATGGAATTAAATAGAACGCGCAAAGGGCCGCTGCTTGGAGGTCGCCAGGGCGCGTCTGGAGCTGGCGCTGGACGCGACAGCGTGCGAACCGCCAGCCGAGCGCGAAGGTGCTGCACGACCACCCAGCAGCCCCTCGCATCCATTATCCCCACCAGCTGGCTTGGTGTCGGCAGGGTCTTCGCGGGCCCAGAAATCGGCACCCGCCACTGGTGGAGTACGCCGCATGCGTTGGACAACCCAGATGAACAGCAACGCATTGCGGGCGTATTTTAGGGTGAAACGGGGAGAAACTGGAGGTTTTGCGTATCGGGCAAGGATGCATCGACTTTTTGCTGAGCTGGAGCCATCTGTAACCGTCACCGAGCAAAACCTGGCAGACCGGTGACAGCTCGGTATATCTTGCTCTCAAATACATTTGATGTCACCGAACTCGAACGGCTACGACGTAAGGCTGTTCCTTCATCGGGTGAAAATGCTGCGGCTGAGGATTCGGCGCCACAACTTGCTGAGCAAACGGCAAATGTGGATGCCGCCGTGAATACGCCAGTTGTGGTTCAAAAGATGATGGAACAGTCGCCCAGGAACTGGAACTAGAGCAAATGAGGAGTACATCGGAAGAGGCGATTGTGGAAACGTGCAGTACGCCTCTCGAAAATCGACCGCGACTTCCCCCGATTAGCCCTAAGCAAGCGGAATCGGGCTGTCGTGAGGGCTTTGAACCAAATGCTGGTTACCTATTTGGAAGCCAGCCGGGACCTTTGCGAGACGGACTCAATTCTTTTTGGCGCCGCACTGGCAGTCTGCCGTATTATAGGCGCAAACTTTTCACGGCTGGACGTGCTACTGGACAAAGTAGTGCTATCCCAGCCTGGAGAATAAGAATTGAAGAACGTATCGCAAAGGCTAGGACCCTCATCGGCAGACTGATATGCTTCAGGTCAGGCAATACCAGGCCAAGGATTGTGCGCACATGTCAGGATGGCGTTTGCTGGGACAAATGTTAGTTTGTCCCAGCCGGATATAATGCAAAAACTGACGGAGCGCATAGACGACCTGAAGCAAAGAATCGCTGCTTGAGGAAAGCGGATTCGGCGATATACCGAGAGGTCGACATGGTTCAACCAGAATCCTCTCTTCCAGAGTGATCAGAAGAGGCTCTATAAATCATTGGAGCGACCAATAGTAAGTGGAACGGGCCCAGCACCAAATCAGGCCGATACGGTCGCATTCTGGCGCAGCCTGTGGTCAGAGCCCGTAAACCACAACGAGGGCCCTTTGGACGGAAGTTGTGGCGAGTCAGTGTGCGGGTATTACGCCCATGGACCCCGTCATCATAACGCCGGAAGACGTAGCTGAGGCGGTCCGTAGGGCCCCGAACTGGAAATGTCCGGGGCTTGACGGGCTGCATCACTACTGGCTGAAGGGGTTCCTGGTGTGTCACGCTGTGCTCGCCCGACAGTTTCAAGAGGCTCTCAACCAGAAGTCGTTCCCAAGCCTCTTCACTACTGGGATCACTCATTTTAAATGGATGTAGGGGAAGTGTCGTGGAACCAAGGAACCACTCCTCATTGACGCGGTCATTGGCAAAGTGGTGAAACGCAACCGTCGGAACTTCTCCGCCGCCTGGATAGATTACAGAAAGGCATTTCACTCGGTGCCCCATACATGGCTAAAGAGGGTTCTCGAGCTGTACAAGAGCGTTCGAGACTTCCTCGAGCAGTGTATGGGGCAGTGGAGTACGATTCTCTGTCATCTAGGCGAGCGGATGACGGCTGCGGAAAGCCGCATAAGGATAAGAAGGGGTATATTCCGGGGCGACTGTCTGAGTTCAATCTGGTTCTACCTCTCTTTGAACCCTCTCAGTACATTACTGGAGGGCTCCGGGAGGGGATTTCAGCTTTTGAAAGGAGGTACAAAAGTGACCCACCTTTTCTATATGTATAACCTCAAATTATTCGCTTCCAGTCGCTCCCGTCTTATGATTGCTAAACATCACTTGTGAATTTAGCAATTCTATTAGAATGGAGCTGGGGACGAATAAGTGTGCGGTCCTCCATGTTGAAAGGGGAAGGGTTGCTAACTCTGAGGGCATAGACTTATCTATGCCCGTCAACTTAAGGGCCGTTTCCGAGGCTGAAACATACCGATACCTGGGTATGTCGCAGAACATCGGTATCGATGAGGCGGGTATGAAAAAGTCTGTTTATGACGTGTTTTATGCACGCTTGACCAAAGTGCTTAACAGCCTTTTGTCCGGTGTGAATAAGACACATGCATATAACGGTTGGGTCATGCCTGTCCTCATGTATACCTTTCGCTTACTCAGGTGGAGTCAGGCTGAACTTAACGCCCTGGATAGAAAAGTCCGCACTACAATGACGTACCATACGATGCATCATCCGAGATCGTCGGTAATGAGGCTGTACTTGCCGCGAAAGCAAGGTGGGCGTGGCTTCCTGAGAGCGCTCACCATGCATAACCGCGAAGTGTGCAGCCTCCGTGATTACTTCCTGACGAGATCGGATGATCCATTCTATAAGGACGTCATTTTTTGTGATAAGGACTTACCCCTCTATCCTTAGCCAACGAGCAATGGCAAGATCCGGCAGTGCAGAGCATTTCCGACCGAGAGACCGTATGGAAGGAGAAGGAGCTCCACGGGAGGTTCTACAAGGCTCTAAATGAGCCTTTCGTAGATGCAGCAGCCCCCCTCAAATGGCTACGCTTTGGTGACTTCTTCGGGGAAACTGAGGGTTTTGTCTGTGCAATACAAGATCAGGTTATTAAGACCAACAATTATCGGAGATACATCCTAAAGGATGGCACCGTCGACATCTGTCGAGCTTGTCGCCATCCCTGTGAGTGACTTAGGCATGTCATCTCAGGTTGTTCGGCGCTTTCTAACTCTGAGTACTTGCACAGACACAACCAAGTAGCCAGAATTCTTCACCAGGAGCTTGCTCTGAAATACGGTCTCGTGGATCGGAAATTGCCGTATTACAAGTACTTGCCGGAAGCCGTGCTCGAAAATGATCGCGCCAGGCTCTATTGGGACCGGGCCACCATTACAGACGGGACTATTTTTGCGAATAAGCCTGATATTGTGCTGATGGACCGGGCACAGTCAAGGATATTATGGTCGACATTACCATTCCGTATGACGAGAACCTCGTGAAAGCCGAAATAGATAAACGAACAAAATATCTGGACCTGGCTCACGAGGTGACCGACATGTGGGGTAGTCTGCCGACCGAAATTATTCCTGTAGTCGTCTCTGCAAACGGGCTAATCCCAGTCAGCCTCTCGGGTCATCGCGCTGGCTCAAATGCAGAAGGCGGTGTTCCTCGATACCGCCCGCATCGTCCGTCGGTGTCTTGCCCTCGCTTTCTGTCCCTAACCCTCGGCCGTTTGGTCTCCCACTTACCGAGGGCCTCCATCTGGTTGGGCTTTTATTTATTTATGTATTTTATATTTATTTAATTTTATTGATATTTATGTATATTTATCTTTTCATTTCCATTTATAATTATATATTTATAGAACCCAACCAGATGAGAAATCTGTATTGATACCCCCCAATAATAATAAAATTTTATTTCAGACCATGGTCCATGTATTGTTAGTAATGTTGTTAGTAACAATATTGGCTTAAAACTATGTTTGGTTGAGCGGCGGGCCTATGTCCCCTTTGTGGGGGGGGGGGGGAAAAAGGCTTGCTTTACTGTTATCACATTAGGAGAATGAAATTGGGGCGGATGAACTAATAAACACAAATTTCAAGCAGGTAACATAAATAAGGAAGCGCACTTACCGGGGTGTTCCTTCGATGCGGCTTGGACGCTTTGCTGCTGCGGTGCGACTTCTGGTGGATCTCCTGGGGCCTTGGGCTTCTCCGGTCACTGCTAGGCTAATACAGTTGACCTAGCGGTGCGCGTGGGAAAAGCCCTCTAGGACACGACTGTCCTAGGCGGTGTGGTTCCAACTGGCTGCGCGAAGGGAAGAGAGCGCACGAAGGCTCTGCACACGCTTATATTACTTCGGCCCTCCTATCAATGCGTCTCGGAAGGGCGTGCTTCTTATTGGTTGCGAATCACGCGATATTATAGAATCATCTTCTTTCCCCTCTCACCCCACCATCCCGATGTGTCGGAGGGACGACAGGTGAAGTAAAAGTCGAAGGAAGGACAACGCTTGGCAAGCTAACCTCGAATAAAATTAAAAATACGAATGGTTTTCCGCGCAACCAATGTTAGTATTGTAAGTAATTACACATTATTTTAATCCTAAGACTACGCCCACCCAGTGATTCTGTATGGGACAGTCATATCTTACAGATATCGGTCTCAGGATGCTGTTATTACTGTTTCGTAAGCGTTGCAAGAGTGAGGCTGTTTGTTTAACATGATATAATGATAAGACGCAGACATTTTTTAAATGCGTGTAACCCAACTATTCATGTGGTATGGTAATAAAGCTTCAAGGCATAGTGACAACTTAATACTAAGCTTCATTTTCTAATGACTAAAAATTGTACTGTAACAATTATTAAAATGAAACAGGTTTCTATTTGTAGACCTAACGGCGCCTCTACACGTTGGCCAACACAGTGGCGAATGTAGTGGCGAATATATTGGCCGAGAGTTGGTGAAGGCGTGGCGGTGGGGAAGGTCGTTCAGTTTACTTCGGTTCGGGCCAATGTGCGGACGAATTTATTTTATTGTTGCGCGGCTAAGTTGACATCTGGCACTAGCGCCATCTAGTGTCGGGTAACGGAGCGAGGGGAGAGCTTTCCAGAAAATGACATCACTAATCTTTCAACCGACAGCGCCATCTGTTGTCGAAATGAAGAACTAAGCTTCTGGAAGCTGACTCTCGAACTTTCGGCGCTTTGTCGATTGGTGCGCGTATTTACTTGAATGTTCTGGATGATTCGGTACTAATGTGTATTTATAGGCGCTGCAAGGTGCGATCGGGGAAGTATTGAATTTGGCGAAGGAAGCTTCGGAGGGAATAAATAAATAGTGTGCTTAATTATTGGTGTTTTAAGTTTTAATTTGTGTAAAGAAAATTAAAGTGTTAATTTAGGTAATCCTATCCAATTTTTATAGTCACGAACCTCAAGCTAATAACAATTGGTGTCAGAAGTGGGATAAAATCATGCCGATTTTACCTAAGGAGGAAACGGAGGGTGTCTGTACCCGAAGTCAACGCCAGCAGGAGACGGACCAAATAAGATTTGGTGGTGCAACGCCGCAGACGTTGGAGGGCCACCCGCCGGCTTCAGGCCCGTCAGTAGCTCCTACATCTGCAGCACCTGATTTGGGTGTTGTGATAGTGATGCTGCAGGAGCAGGCTTGCCGACAGGAGGAATAGGCCCGTCGGTTGGAAGAGCAGCTGCGGGGTGGACAAGAGGAACAGGTCCGTCGTTTGGAAGAGCAGCTGCGGGACGGACAAGAGGAACAGGCCCGTCGGTTGGAAGAGCAGATGCTCCTCATGAAGGACCTTCACGCTACCTTCGGGAAGGAGATCAAGGAGGTGAAGGATAGGGTTGCTCAGCATGACAACCGCCTGTCAGAAGCTGAAACCCAAATCGCGAAAGCTGAAACCCGAATCGAGAAAGCCGAAACCCGAATCGACCAAGTGAACAATCGGATTGACAACGTAATGGCTGACATGAAGAATCGTCAAACTTGGGGATGGAATTACAGCTCCCGTAGTAGCTACTACACCTTTGCTACGTGGGTTCCAGGTTTAGCCACCGTTTAGACGACGGCTCCGTGGTGCAGTGGCTTAGCAATGAGTGGCTGTGCCGGGGGCCGCGGGTTTGAATCCCACACGGAACAAGTATTTGTATATCCTACAAATAATTGTTTCAGGTCTGGATGTGTGTCCTTCTGCAATTTATGTTTGTAAGCTGCCTCCGCGATACAGGAGAAAATCCAAGTGTGGGGGTAACGTTTTTACAAAATAATTATAAAAGAATAGTGGATATTAATGGGGCTGTAAATAGATATACGATTAGCTTTATTTATTATTTACATGCAACACAAAATGGAATAAATACCATCAATAAGAACTTAACTTATTTTAAAAGTAAAGGAGTTATAATCGATTAATATTTGTTTTAAAATTGGGTTTTGATTTTAAAGTTTAGCAAAACATGTTTTCTATCAGACAATTGATATATATATATATATATATATATATATATATATATATATATATATATATATATATATATATATATATATATATAAAAACACCTTATAATTTATTTGGTAATTTAATTTTTTTTTGAGAAAGACAAAAACAATAGCAATAAATATAATTAACACTGACTTAATAATAGGTACTATAATTATTACGGCAGTGCTGACTGCTTTGCGGCAGTCTGTGGAGGAGGATGTTCAGTAGTGGACTTGTGAACAGCTGTAATGATGATGATGATTCAAAAACTTGCAGGATTAAATTATAAGAAATCGACGTCTTTTATAGGATAGGGTGACAAACGAGCACACA